ATGAGTTTCTGGTACTACTAAGAGACTTCCCTGAAGACCATCTTAGTATTTTAAAGAAGTTTTCAATGTACAGTTGAAATTAGCATGAAGCTGGCCTAGGAGTTTGCTACTCCCCCCTGGAGGGGATGCTAGTCCTTTGCAGGGTTACCCCCTGTGGTATGTCAGTGGTACCCTTTTTTAACACCTAGCGCCCTCTGTCCCCAAGGTGGCCATTGTAGAGAGGTTTACCTGTACGTACTAGCCAGGCAACTTACATTATTTTTATTTCCAAGTTAAGAAGGTCAATTTTGTTAAAACAAGTTTGTGATAAGTTGATTGAAACCATGCAATATGGAAACTTGACAGCATGTAAACTATAGAGTTGTAATTATTGTATTTTCTTTAGTTTTTTTCTGTCTTTTTGGTCTTAGTTAGGTACAATAAAAGACTTACTGCCAAAAGCATGCTTTGAACATATATTGAGTATAAAGTGCATGCATGTATGTTGATACAACAAATTGAATACTTATTTTCATACACCACATTCAAATTTTATTTAACTATTTCAAAACTATTAATTTATTTTTACAAATAGGTTGATATCTTAATTTTCTGAGATAATAATCAAATATGATCTTCCTTTCAATTCTGTGATAATTGTAAACCTTTCATTTATCTGATAAAACTTTAACCTCTTTATTAACAAACACTTACAATAAATTTCCTCCACTTTACAAATCTATGTTAAATAAAAATATTTAGTTTGCACTTTGCATGTCACTTTTGGCGTTTCAATAAAGAGAAATAGTATTTTATTTTTTTATTTGTATTTATCGAGGAAACATAAATATTATATTATTTGTAAAGAGTCATATCTTCACACGCATACCGACATAACACCATTTTCATGACAACTTAAAAAAACTGAATTTAAAAAAATACCCGCTCAAACACAAGGAGTTTACCTTATGGTGTGAAAAATACCCCTTGCATTTTTTCATGGATATTTTAAATTCTGGCCAAAAGGGGTAGAGACGGTAAAAGCACACATGAGCTGCAACAGCCCACAAGTTCTGAGCTTAACCTGGTTTCGATCCGTTGCATGAAATACCTAGTAGTATCGTAACTCCCACCTCCCACTCCGGATGGGATGCTAGCTAGTCCATAGTTTTACCCCTACTATTATGTCACCGGAACCCATTTTATAACCTAAAAAGCAGAAACAATGAGGAGCAAGGTTTCTTATCTAAGAAAGAGCGACTGAATAGCAAACATTAAAGGGGATACTTAATTTGCTTCTAATGTGGCCCAGGCATTGGGTACTTCTGTGGGAGTGTCCACTACACATAATAATTATTGTGGAAATACAGCATATCTTACCCATCCATAAAAAACTACTTACTACAACTATCTTCTCAGGATGAAATTTGTCCAAATGGGCACATATTTAAAGAACTATTCTACTCAACCATTTGCTACATCTCAACAATTAAAGGTAAACTGACCTGTATCTACACCTGGCTAATAATATCCTCTTTTTCTGCCACATGAATTTTGATTTTCCTAACTCCTGGGAGTAAGGGGGTGTCACTCGCTTCACTATTGTAGCTCAGGTTCTGGAAGAACAATTGAATGATTCATTGGTTGCCTTTGAAATGTGTCATGACTTCAAGATTGACTATATTCTGCCCTCTGAGAATCTCCTGGGACACCTGTTTGTGATTCCAGTACAGAACGTCTTTTCCATTTACAGACTTTAAGTACATTCGGACCTGCATGGCAAGAAAGGCGAGAAAAGGATTATTGGTCAATGAGTGACACATTAGAATAATAGCTTTCAAGCAACTGTTGAACTGAAAAAAAGGAGTTTTTCATAAATGANAATTGAATGATTCATTGGTTGCCTTTGAAATGTGTCATGACTTCAAGATTGACTATATTCTGCCCTCTGAGAATCTCCTGGGACACCTGTTTGTGATTCCAGTACAGAACGTCTTTTCCATTTACAGACTTTAAGTACATTCGGACCTGCATGGCGAGAAAGGCGAGAAAAGGATTATTGGTCAATGAGTGACACATTAGAATAATAGCTTTCAAGCAACTGTTGAACTGAAAAAAAGGAGTTTTTCATAAATGATAATAGCCCTTAAGTAAGGTTTGATTCTCATGATGGTGTGGTTGTCTAGTTCATTAACCAATAATTGGTTAATGAAGTAAACAAGCCCTAATACTAGTAAGCTGCATATGATTTCCCCGTTAACTCTTTTTCTACAGGTGTCACAAATATCTGACAAATTTGTCGCGTAATACAAAACATTCTTAGTCACACATCAAAGTTGTGGGGAAAAAAGGAAATGCACATCAAAAAACAAATTAAATGTACCAGTAACAATTTTTACATAGATTCTTGTCAATAGTTAGCACAGAGGCAAATTGTACCAAGAAGGTATTAAGAACTTACTGTTGGCGTTATTGTTTAAAAAAAAAGAATACTACTTTTTGTTTCGCCAGTTTAAAGAGCTTGTTCTGAGTGGTGTGAATCTGAGTTAGTATGTTGTTCTGCATGAGGAATCTAATGGACAGCTAACCCTTTGTTTCTGAGTGGGCGGTGAGATGAGTAAGTAGATTAGCATTTAGTATTACCACATGCTTTTTTTAAGAGGGGAAAAAACCTTTGCCCATCTTTTTCTTATTCTCAGAGCTGCAAATAGCACCTGGTCTTGGAGCTAAGATGAATCTAAATACTACTATGGCTGGTGTCAGACGAGTATGAAATCCTCTCTGCCGTTAGACATGATGACTGGACAGATTAAATACTTGAGACTATCAATTTGAAGCTCAAGTGGCTGCAGGGTCTTTTTTAATGAAAAAAGAAGCATTGGTCAAGCAAAGTGGATTCAAGAAATTTTTCATCATACTATTGTGCAAGATACACATGTACTCTGTGACAAACGTTGGTTACTGTGTGTGTTAGTTTGAAGAAGATGGAGCTTAAAAGAGTCCAAAAGTAGTGAAGGCTATTGTGCAAGATGATTAAAAGGATGGTTCTTTTCAAGTGGAACCATGGGCATGGTGACTACTAAAATTTTCTCTCATACCTTTAACCCAGCAGCTGCTGCGGGTCCTTTTGGATCTATTGTTTGTACGTACACTGGACTCGAACCCCGAACTACAAACCCAAACCCCACTGCATCACTCTTGACCTGAAGAAGATAAGGGGGCAAATTAAAGTTGTTTTAACTTTTAGCTTGAGGAAGCTACATGGACTTGTACATAAAACTTGATACAATGAGAGAACAAAGAGAGTAAAGGTAGTGAAGACTGTGGAACTGGATATTAGGGAGAAGGCTGTGTAGCACTTGCTTCATCAATAGTTTGAGTTTGACTTTGAAAACTCACAGGGCAGTAATAATAATAATACAGTTTAGTAATAATAATAATAATAATAATAATTTTCTCGTTTGTAGGAATGGCTTCAGTAAGGAACAATAACATTTACTATTACACATCACAATAAAATCATGTTGCAGACAACATACCCTGATATTTTTGGTAACATAAGGCCCATTAGGATCCAACAGTTCTTCGGTAGAAATTTCTCTGACAATAACTTCAATAAAATTTAAAAAAATTACAAGTCAACTTTAAAAGGTAAAGAACAAAATCTATAACCTTCATTTTGAAGTAATTCAATTTCAATGAACAATCAATGATTGAATAGCTAGATTACAGTACATTAAGAGAATGCATTTTATTAAACTACTAGCAACGAGGAAAGCTAAAAAAGTCCAGGGTGCAAAGAAAGTCAGTTTTACAGCTTGCCTTTCGCGCAAGCTGTAGCTAGCATATACAAGCGCAAGAGTCAATTTAACTACCCCCCCCCCAAGAATTCCAGATCAACAGGGCTGATTACAGTTCATCTGTTGAATTCCTTTGAAAAACTTCACTTGCCCATCAAGCAAGTTAAGAACAGTTTTCACTAGCCCAATAGCAAAATCCACTAGCCCTGGGCTATGGGACACAACTTTTTAATTTAACTTCTTATTTAAAGTACAGTTATTTGACTGGAATAAGTCCAAAGCAAGGTATTTTTGTCTCTGACAAGGTTAAAAATTACATTAGAACAGGAAAAGGAAAAAATATGTAGGGGGAGGAGAAGGGGAGAAGAAGAGAAAAAAAGCAATGTTTGCACTCAGAGTTTTTATATTGACCACTTTGAGACAGTTTTTTGTACAATACCATAAACTTCCCAAAGTAACAACCCCCCCCTCCCCGAAAGTAGCGACCCTTCGAAAGTAGCAACCCTCCGAAAGTAGTGACGTCTTCAAAAGTGATTTCCCTTCTAGAAATAACAAAAATTAAAGATATACATTTTAACGATAATAATGATCTTAGGCATTCCTTTATGTAACTCAAAAGATACATTACATCATTTTTTTCTTCAAAAAGTCTTCCTTTTGTCTGTGAATACCCACAACCTAATCAAACAATTCTTTTAAATATTTATTTAAAGAGCAATAAAATGAAATAAGTTTCTCCAAATAAAAAGTGTGGATGTTCTCACAATCGTCCCGATATTATTGTTGTAACTTTGTACGGTCCATGTACGATACGTTTCACCCAAAAGTAGTGACCTCCTGAAAGTAGCGACCCACCAAAAGTAGCGATAGGGAAAGGCTGCTAAATCAGAAAGTAACGAGGGTAATTACTTTCGGAAGTTAATGGTAAATGGATTCAGAGTAAACAAGGACTTGAGTGAAGTAGTGTTTTAAAAAATTAAGCTAGATGATTAATTTTTTCACAAAGTGCTGTTAAAAGTGACAAATTCGTTTACAACTTTGACCAAGGGGGTTGGCAGTTACTTGGAGGACAGCAACTATTAGAGAAAGCATACAATACTTGTTTGAGGAAATACAGTATCATTGTATTTTCCTGGTCAACCACAATAAATTAAGGAAACAATTAATGCACATTTTGACTCCCCCACCCCCGTTGACATAGCAGAATAGTTTTGAATAAAATGGCCTGGCCACTGTGAATAACCTGGTCTGGGTGATTGACTTGGGCTGGCACTGGATGGGAAATACTCTGGGCTGTCTGGTGAGTAATCTAGAAATAGGCAAGAAATAGCAATCCATTACTTAAAAATAATGACCTCTTCAATCCTGGGGGTAGGCAGTCTTAACTCTTTAAGCCCAAATATCCAAGTACAAATTCTCAAGACTGATCTCCATACATTTCCTTAATGAATTAGTTGGGAGAATTTGTTTGAAGATCAAAGCATTTTCCCTTCCATGAAGTGATTACTTTATATATTCTCACAACATTTTCCCTTGGTTTTGTATTGATATTGTTAGGAGAGAATTGACTTTCGTCACTCTTGACACTTAAAGGGTTAATGGGCCATTTCAGAGTTCCAAAAAAACCTCACTTACAAAACAATGTTAAGTGGTACAAATTCGTTGTTGTGAAAATGAGTTTTATTTGCATGAGAATAAAAGAATCATTTTCATATCAAAGCCTTTGAAAGTAGCCTTGCTTTGAAACAAAGGCTTGAGGCAACTTTATGAAAATTACAAATTAATTCATTTAGAAAAGTTTGAAAGGTTGACCCACTACCCTGCAAATACAGGTGCTCTTATTGCTTGAAAGAAGTGATTAACAAGCGCTGTACTTTCAGCCAAAGCTCAGCTCTCTCTGACTTAATTAGCATTAAGGTACGGGACGAGATCCCTGTCGAGGAACACGACAAAAGACTCCAAGTTCTAATTATGTCTGAGAAAGGGAGAGAGGGCTGGCCCTTTTCGCTGACACTCTTTGTGAAATGACAACTTTGCATATATTATTCAGGTTTATATAATGCCTAATATGTTATTGCACAGGATAATGAATATTACATGACTGTGAATAGATACTCTAACAACTAGCTTTTCAAAAGGACATGATAATAATTATTATGATATAAAATTTCATTTTTATTAATAAATTATTTTGTTACATCATAGTTAATAGAGGGAATGGTTATGAAACCCGACAAAGTTCTTTGTTGTATGTTTTTGTTCTCTTTTTTGGCCTTGACCCTGCACAAAAAACAATAGTTGTTTACTCCGTACTGAGGAACTAACCAATAGAAACGTGCTGGTTACGTAATTCATGCATAACGTATGAACGCAAAACAAAAGATTGTGCAGGGTCGTGGACCTTCTAACCTAAATCTTGGCATCTTTGTTTGCTCCTTTGATGTTTGCCGGGCTTCATAACCAGTCACCTCCATTAACTATGGNTAACCAATAGAAACGTGCTGGTTACGTAATTCATGCATAACGTATGAACGCAAAACAAAAGATTGTGCAGGGTCGTGGACCTTCTAACCTAAATCTTGGCATCTTTGTTTGCTCCTTTGATGTTTGCCGGGCTTCATAACCAGTCACCTCCATTAACTATGGTTACATTGACTAAACTGGGAAAGATAATCAACTTTCAAATCAGACAGCCCGAACAACTAAAATACTGTTATCCATAATACTATCGCGAGACTGAAATATGAAATGTTAAAGCACATCCACAAGTATTATTACGTGAGTAATACATAACCTAACCTGCATGTAACTTTTTAAGCACATGTGCACTAATAAAATGTGACTAAGTTTTACTAATGACAACAACACTACATTAAAGTGGGTAAAAGTTTCTTTTAATCCATGAATAAATGGCAGCCAATGATCATTTAAAAAGCCTGTCATTTGCTAGATTTTAAAACAGCTAATTTTCCATTCCCTCAATGTCATTTCTGTAAGTAACAGCTATGAGTATGACGTATGTATGGTATTTGGAGCCATTCCACCACCAATTGGGTTGCATATGCCCTCACTGCTGGAATAGCAGGAGATTTGCCTGTAGAAAAGTGGTTTCACGTCTCCCTTGGATGTAGTGAACAGGGTTTGGTTCCTCATAGGTGAACCAATATATTAGATCTTATGTAATAACATTGCTGTTATCCCCACCATCTGTAGCCATTACCCACCCTTTCCACATTGATACGTATTCTGGTACGCCAAACTACCTACCAAGTGGCTCAGTTATTCCTGGCTTTTCTTTTAAAAAGGGAACAGGACTAGATCGCTGTGTATTTAATGGAGGAAGATTCCGACGTCTAAAGTTCCTTGGTGAACCAGGAGCCTTGTCATCCACAATACCCAAAGTGTCAATCATCTTCCTGGCTACTACTTTATCAATCATGAACTGATAGAAGATGTTTTCATCTCTAAAGTGAAATTCGTCTGTAACTAAAAGAGTTGTAAGAAAATTTAAAAAAAAAACTTTTGCAAAGACTTCTGACTGTTACTAGGGACAGGGAAACAGCTGACCAGCGTGTCCCTAGTAACGATCCCAGAAGTCTTTGTGAAAATCAGCTTGGCCCAGTTTCCTTCTTGTTTCTAAAGGTGATGTTACATGGGACAATTTGCAACAAAGATTTTTAGCACAACACAGTATTACAGCATTGTTGCAACATTGTTTTGAATGGTTGCAACATTGCTCCAACATTGCTACGCTGTGTTATGCTGAAAATCATCATTGCAAATTGTCTTATGTGAAAGCACTTTATAGTGACATGTAAAAAGGGCATTGGTTATATCCCTAAAAAATTTAAAAATAAAAGATCCAAATTATTCTCTTGCCTTAAAGGTCAAGAAGGAATGAGTCCCAAATGACTGGAGGTCATCCACTTGGCTATTTACAAGCATGGCAGATGATGTTTAACTCAAAACTACTAAGAATAAATCCAGATATAGCAGTCAGTGTGGGATTATGAACTATTATTGGGGCCACCAGATTGCAATTCTAGCACTGCTGCTAAGCCAGGCTTCCTCCTCCTTTTCTTCGTTTGAGAAAAATTTGGTAATTCCCCTACTTCCATGCATTTATTAATAGACTTTCCTTACCATGTTTAATGATTGCTTGATCTAAGAGTTCTTTCCCAAGTATTAATCCCTGAGTTCTATCGGTTACTTCACCACTTTGTATCAACCAGTCCACTAGTTCAACGCCTGTGAAACAACTTCGGTACACAAAGTCATGACAAGGACGTGACTTGATTAAATGGCAGTCCTCATTCTTTGCCCTGTATGGAAATTGACATTCACTTCATTATGAGTGAGGAAGTGGGTGAAAAATGTAAGAGGGTTTCTCATTAAAATATCAACAGAATAACAGGAAATCAATTTCAACAGCTAAAAAACCAGTAATACACATCCGGCCCCCCAAGTCTACTATTCCCTGTTAAATTAAATTTTCCTTTCTCTTTTTTTTAACTCTTAAAAACTCTGCTTACCCTTGAGTAATTCTACATGCAGTCAATACACAGTGGCAGGTGATCTTAGCAGAGTGACTGAGCTTGTTAAAGAACATCCCCCTGCCATTAACTGACACTTTTTGTTAAGCTTTTGACATTTTAAGTAATTTTCAGGAATATACCAGGATAGGAACCCAGTAATGAGGTCCTGTTAGGGTAAAATTCTAACAAGTGACATGGCCTTAAACAATGACATGGGACAGTAGAAATGGTGACAAACGATACAAACATGGGTTGAAACTGCAACAGCAACAGAGAAAAGAGCAAATAAAATAGTAAAATACTGACAGCAACATGGCTTCCTCCTCAATATGCAAGACGACAGGCCCCAGTACTGTTGTTGAAATGTTGGATAGCGCTATTCACTGGATCACTACCCATCGGATAAGTATTAGGGAAACTTATTGCTTTATCTACTGGACAGACTTTTATCCAGTGGATAGATTTATCCACCTTTCAAACAACTGGGCCTATGAGGCTGAGTAGGATGTGAAGAATTATGCAGATGAAGGAGGATGTTATCCACTGAGGCTGAAGGCCGAGGTGGATAACATCCTCTGAGATCTGCATACTTTTTCACATCGTACAAAAGCCAAATTCAATAATTCCTTTATTATTCATTCAAAATATTTCTAAGTTCTTAACAAGCTTTCTTTCTTGTAGACATTCTTCTAAACTTCATTCAATTGGCATGATTTCACAAGGATATAAACAGATGTTTTCTCTTGTGGAAACTCCTCAAAAAGTAGATAACTTTCATCCAGCAATGTGTCTTGCATATTCTTGCATTTCTTCCCAGCTTGTAAAGAAAGTAGTGTCCGATAGCCCGGGGCTAGTGGATTTTGCTACTGGGATAGTGAATTCTGCTCTTAACTTGCCCGATGGGCAAGTGGAGTTTTTTGAGGAATTCAAATTACATAAGAACTGTGTAATCAATCCTGCTTGTCAAAAAAGTTTTGGGGGCTAGTTGAAAAGAATTTTGGGCTAGTACATGCTAGATACAGCTTGTCCGAATGGCAAGCTGTAAAACTGACTTTCTTTGCTCCCTGCTTCCGTTCAGCTTTCTTTGAATCGCGGTGAACTCTATGTTTTAGTTCACTCGTGAAGATACAGCTAGTCACCGGAGCCTGGAAAGGGTGTTGGTCGGTGCTCTATTGCCTATGCAGCCTCATTTCCAATCAAATAAACCATCGATCAACCTCATTAAAAATCAAATATGCCATCGAATTGAAGGTATATTGCTCGCATCTTTCAAATATGGTCAGCTCCAATTGGTTATGAAGAATTAGGTGGAGGCTTTAAGAAAATCAGAAACGGCAAAATATTTTGAATGAATAATAATATGTATTGACCATGCATCGTTCCATAAAGGGACAAAAAACCTTTTTTATAACACTTATTAAAATTAATCATGGTGACTAAAAGAAAGCAGTGTTACCTGCATACTGTACAAACAAAATATGAGACAGGACACACAGGACAAAAGATGTGGGAATTTTTAAGACTCAAGGCCAGGAACTGGTAGCCTGAGAGAGACGACACTGTCTCTGTGCTTTTATTACAAGGCAAATTGAAACAAAACTGGAAAGGTATCTGCTAATTGCATGCTGGAAGTGGAAGCAAGGGTTTGTTTGAGTGTCAATCTCTTTACCTGTGATAAATGTCACAGCCACGATAAACTACAACAAGGTCAGGGTTGAGAACAACTGTGTCATCATCCCGTCGGAATCGGTAGAATAACATCTCATCTTTAAACTGGTGATCATCGCACACTAGCAATAAATAAAACAAACCATCAAGACCTATCTACGCCATATTAAGACAACAAAAAATCGGGGCATGAAAAACCTTGATTCCAGCTGTTGCATTTTCCTTGTCCAAGGCCACTTCTTGCTCATCTTAGTCAATGACTTTGTCAGAAGATGACTTGTCTGGACTCTTACCCATCCAAAAAGAAAACCTACTTGTCCCGGACTACCATACGGGACTTTTTTGGGGCCCTGACCATGCTGGATCAAGGTCTTCTAAAGGGAAGCTAGCTCATCCTTAACTGTTGCAATGGATGCTGGTTTTTTTTAAACATTTGATCAAATAACAAATGTTGTACATGTAGCTCTGATGTGGGCATAGGCTTAGTGTACCAGGTTTAAAAATAGTACAAGGACAGCTTTTGAATATCAGTACTGTACTTTTTACAGGCCAGGTTTAAGGGTACAGTAAGATTATTTGTCACATATCTAAGTCCTAGCTTTGAAGAGCTATGCCAAGACAAAAATTCCAAGAACTCTTAATCATTGGAGATTCTCCTTGTAAGGTGGGGTAGTGAGCTATATGATTACATTTGCCATTGTGAAGGGTAGTCATCAGTCTACTCTAGGGTAGGGTATAGAAACAGGGCTGTCACTAAGATTTCAACCATGTCTAATGTGGGCATAGGCTGGGTGTGAAGTCATGGCCAGTGTGGATTTGTATACCAGGTTTTAAAATAGTACAATGACAGGTTTTGAATATAAGTACTACACTTTTTACAGGCCAGGTCTGAGGGTCGGNGGAAAGGTATCTGCTAATTGCATGCTGGAAGTGGAAGCAAGGGTTTGTTTGAGTGTCAATCTCTTTACCTGTGATAAATGTCACAGCCACGATAAACTACAACAAGGTCAGGGTTGAGAACAACTGTGTCATCATCCCGTCGGAATCGGTAGAATAACATCTCATCTTTAAACTGGTGATCATCGCACACTAGCAATAAATAAAACAAACCATCAAGACCTATCTACGCCATATTAAGACAACAAAAAATCGGGGCATGAAAAACCTTGATTCCAGCTGTTGCATTTTCCTTGTCCAAGGCCACTTCTTGCTCATCTTAGTCAATGACTTTGTCAGAAGATGACTTGTCTGGACTCTTACCCATCCAAAAAGAAAACCTACTTGTCCCGGACTACCATACGGGACTTTTTTGGGGCCCTGACCATGCTGGATCAAGGTCTTCTAAAGGGAAGCTAGCTCATCCTTAACTGTTGCAATGGATGCTGGTTTTTTTTAAACATTTGATCAAATAACAAATGTTGTACATGTAGCTCTGATGTGGGCATAGGCTTAGTGTACCAGGTTTAAAAATAGTACAAGGACAGCTTTTGAATATCAGTACTGTACTTTTTACAGGCCAGGTTTAAGGGTACAGTAAGATTATTTGTCACATATCTAAGTCCTAGCTTTGAAGAGCTATGCCAAGACAAAAATTCCAAGAACTCTTAATCATTGGAGATTCTCCTTGTAAGGTGGGGTAGTGAGCTATATGATTACATTTGCCATTGTGAAGGGTAGTCATCAGTCTACTCTAGGGTAGGGTATAGAAACAGGGCTGTCACTAAGATTTCAACCATGTCTAATGTGGGCATAGGCTGGGTGTGAAGTCATGGCCAGTGTGGATTTGTATACCAGGTTTTAAAATAGTACAATGACAGGTTTTGAATATAAGTACTACACTTTTTACAGGCCAGGTCTGAGGGTCGGGTAGGAGTGCTAATTCAGTCATATGATTTAGTCTAGGAAAGGCTAAGGTTTCCGAGATTTCATGATCCCAGCAATACACATGGAATTATTTCTTAAAGTGCATCTTACCAACCATGCCCCCATCCAATACTTTTCAGTTTCAAATGATGAATATACTGAAACCACAGAATGAAGAAATAAATGCAAAGAGGATCATCCCAGTTGAAGACGTGACTTATGCATTTGTGAAAAGAAACCCTGAAAAAATCAGGTTGGCCAGGAATTGAACTCTGACCTCTGTGATACCGGTGCTGTGCTTAAAAACGGCCGATTGACCTTGTAAGCCAACTAGGAATATTGGACATTACATTGGTTTCTAATATCACTATAGCCGGGAAAGATGAACATGAAATGCTAGTAATGTGAATTTAAATTGGAACCGCGACATAAAGAAAGAAAAAGAAAGAATATCATCGCAGATAACGACGCAATAATCTACTTTGCATGTACTTCTTACTTTCCAGTTTCTTCCCCAAGTCCAAATCAACGCTAATAAAAAAATGTGTGCACAGACGCAGAGTAACTTAACTGGCAATTTGCAAGACACAAGACTTTTTCCCTTCTTCGCTTGCGTTTCCCTTACCGTGGTGAATTATACCGTGATCTAAAAGAACGTTCATGCACTGCACAGCCCCTCCGCGCGAACTTGCATCTCCATGTCGAATCAACCAGTCAACCAAATCGCGACCAACAAAACAACAAGAGTACATCCTCAAGTGATATCGCCTATCTTTGATCATAACAGGGTCTTCTTCAGCGTGCAGCCTGTTCCTCAAATGCTCCCCGACCAGTACGACTTGCAACGCTTTCAAAGAGAGTTGGTCTGTCATTTCTTGAGGGTAAACAAATAACACAAGCGCGCATATTATAATCTAACGAAACGGCTTCAGTTTGCTCGTGAAACAAGACACCTTTCAGTTTAAGACGAAGCAGCCTGGGGCACAGCCTTCCCGTCTTTCTTCCCGCCAAATTTTAGTCTCCCAGCGCAACCGTTTTTGCTCGTCACGCAACGCTCTCCCCAGGGAGGGGATGAGCGTTGCGTGATGAGACAAAAACGGCTGCGTTCCTTTGAATTTCTGAAACAATAAATAAATAAATAAGCCTCTCCTTTCAGTGTCTGGCTTGCAGGTGCCCCCGACTGTTTTGCTTCTGATGCCCGTAAAGTTCGATAAGTCACATCAGCTCTTTTCTTTTCCTCCATCTTTCTTCCAAAGCTGCGGCATGTGAGATTAAATGATGAAAATTGCAATACTTCTTACATTTTCCGCAGACATCGGAGGAGAACGTTTGATTGTACGATTCTATCATGTTTCTTGATCTGGTGGAACCAAGCGGGGGGGGGGGAAAAAAAACCCTCCCCCTCGAGACCGTACCCCCCGCCTTACCCCTGCCAAGGAACCCCCCCCAAAAAAAAAATGGCGGATTGGACGACCCCGCCGGCGGTGGGAGAAAAAACATAAATTCCTATTGATTTGTTATGGTTGGCGGAAAAATGCTGAACGTTGTGATAAGTCTATCTACCTTTTTTTTTTTCCCCCACCTTTTTTCCAAAGCTCCGGGATTTGAGATTAAATTATGAAAATTTCAATTCTTCTTACATTTTCCGGAGACCTCGGGGGGGAACGTTTTATTGTACGATTTTATCATTTTTCTTGTTCTGGGGGAACCAAGCGGGGGGGGGGGGGAATAAAAACCCTCCCGCTCGAGACCGTACCCCCTGCCTTACCCCTGCCAAGGAACCTCGCCTAAAAATAAAATGGCTGATTGGACGAGCTCGCGTGCAGTGGGAGAAGAATCATAAATTCTGATTGATTGGTATCGTTTGTCGGTAAAATGCTGAACGTACTGCATCACCTGCAAATACTGCGTTTTGCGGTTCCTGCAACCGTAGTCATAGGAGTTGCTCCGCAATATTTTTTCACGTGGCTTGCGTGGCGGCTCCTTTCTGTGCCTTTTCCTCGCCGTTTGTACGAGCGAGGAGATGAATTTTTTTATGACATGTATCAGTCCCTCGTTTGCTTCTTCTATGAGACGTGCACTGGAGCGGAGGTAATACATCTCGTCATGATTACTGTCCATCACATGCATTTAAAGCCATATTTGAACAGTAGCAATAGGCGTTGTGTGGATTGACCACTTTGAATTTAAGTGTACGATCCAATGTTTTCTGTTCTTTCTTTTTAAGGTCATCTTTTATGGTGATCAAATTCCGTGGGACAAACAGGAAAATGTGATTGTACTATGCAACCATCAAAGCTCAGGTAGTATTTCTATTTCCCAAATTTTTGTACCCTCCCCCCCACTTCCTGACCCCACCTTCCCGACACCCAACCATACCCCCTTCCTTAAGGAGAGGTATCCTTGGTCATAAGGGGGAAACAAGTCCGCAGTGTTGGCATAATAATCCGGTAGTCATGGGGTTTCGCATGCAAAATTGTTCGAGTTAATATTTTGTCTGGTGTTCCTATCATGAAGCTTTGATTTCTTTCAGGAAAGAGCAGCAATAAAACTCAAGTGCTTTTTGTAAAGAATATTATATTCCATTAATAGTACAGACTGTCCAACCATTCTGATCTTGTTGGAATTCGCCTGATATTGCTGAAAATCCCCAAATCCCAACCAATTTGTGATCAGAGGAGTAAAAATCCTAATTTTGACTTCTGTTTTGGTATTTTCAAGATTCTTATGATACTTGTACAAAATCACCTAATAATAGACAGAAACAATAGGGCCATTTATATGAGGAAAAATAAGACGCGTATAAACAGCACATTTCGTCTAAAATAAGACGCGTCTTAGCTAAGTCGCGTCTTATTTTAGACGAAATGTGCTGTTTAGACGGAAAGTTCGCGTCTTATGTAAGATGCTTCTTATTTTTCCTCGTATAAATGGCCCTAATATTGTCCTCTCAGAACTCTAGAAATGGCATTTCAGACCATCAAGATTTGAAAATTTTTCAGGCGTCATTCCCCTAGTGGCTTTTGCCTTTGGTGTTGGCATCATTCATCAGTGATTAAAAAATATACCGATTTCACATACTCAAAAGGTTGAAAATACTATGAACCTTCTAAAAGCAGCTATTTCAGACTGTCCAATCTTGGACCTTTTGTCTTTTGTCTTTCTTTCATCGTGTAATCAGTAGCTAAAAGAGTATAGTTTCTACATCAAACAATCAGTGCTCATTCACCAGATTTTGGACAAATCTATGCCATCAGTATTGGATTCCAGAAGTCTCAGATCAATATTTAGGTTTCTGGGAAACTGCCCACCAACCCCTCCCCTAACTCAACATTAACATTTGCTTTTTACTTTGAGCAAAATGTTGGGTTAGGGCAGGGGTAGGTGGGCAGTTTCCCAGAAACCTAAATCGATCCGAAGTCTCTCCCATGAATTGTCCCTAGCAATAAGAGGTAAGGAGAGACAGCTGTATTGACAAGCTATCAATGAAGTGGTCAATCATTGATTTCAGCCACTTCAACAAATGAACATTGAGGCCTTACACTAAAGGCTTATAGGGATGATTGCTTAGAATGCAACTTCATAATACTGTTTTGCTCCCTTCTGTTTCTACAGTTGATTGGATGGTCTCGGATTTCATTGGTATTAGGCAGGGCTCACTGGGAAGAATAAGATACATTCTGAAGAGTGGACTGAAGTATTTGCCATTGTATGGATTTTACTTTGCACAGGTGAGTAAGTAAAGCCTTCTAAACCAAATAGTAAATCAATTAATTTGTAGATATTATTTAATCATTAAAATTTTGATATCAGTTGAAAAAAAGGCAAAACTTAACAACTTGAAACTACTCAATCATGTTCAAGATCAAATCAGTCCTAGTAAGCCAAAAAGGTAAATCACATGGTGGCCCATTTTTCGTGATGCCTGTGTAAAACAGTTAGAGGCTCCTATGCCTAAGGGGTGTTCCCACAATTCAAATGTCACAACAATATTAATTTCACTGAATTTTGTTTAATTTTGGTAATAATGATACCCTAGGTAGATGAAGTTAGTGGTTTACCAGTAGGTAAGAGGCTGTTGTTATGATCAATGATGACTAGAAACTCTTGAAATAATTAAAAGTTACGTGTTGTTGGTGTAACCAGACGTTGTAGTGTGTCTGATACATTTTGCGGTCTGAGTAAGGAAAGGTGAATCAGGGTTGGCCAGGAGGTAGTAATATACCATTGTACAGGGCGTGTGCTTTCTAGAAGCTCAGGGTTAGTTGAGCTATCCCTCAGGCCAGCATATTTTAATACAAGTTGTCCGACAGGCAAGCCGCTTTGGCTGAGATAAAGCAAAGGATAAAGCAAAAGGGCATTGGTAGGTCTTCAGGGCTGCTATAATAGGCTAGTCAACGTTAGCAGCAGCTAGCCCGAAAGGGTGAACATTTTATTTAGTAAAAAATCATCTCACCCCGATTATACCCCATGTGCTTTAGCTAATATACTTAAAATTCCTCCAAATTTTCCCTATATACATCTAAAATGACAGGAAATGTAGTATACTGTGGTATACCCCAAATCAATATTTTGTTTCCAACCAGGCAAAAGATACTTACCAACCCTGACTGACATGTAAAATAACCACATCACATCTCCTCCTTTAACCTGAATTTAAGTTTGACCTTTAATATATACAAAAGAAACACCTTGCCTTTAGGGCAGGCTGGGGTTCTTGTTTTCAATTTTCCAATGAAGAATTGTTTTTTTTAATGACAGCATTCATGTATATATGTTAAGAGAAGTGGTGCAGACGACCAAGTGCATATCATAAGGTATGTACTTGACATACTATGAAACTGTAACTCCTTTCATAACATTATACTGTCATTTTAATAGGGGAGCCCTCCCCCAAGGGGAATGACCTGCCACATAAAAGCAGCCTGTGAGAGCCCCTGCTTAGGGTGCTCCTGCACCATGAGGTTTAAGAAGCCAAATAGTGAAATAAATTTATTTATTTATATATTTTGTCAAAGGAAACTGAAGGAAATGAAAGCAAGAAAGCTGCCTGTGAGTATTTTAATTAGACCTTGCTGGAATGAGTTACTTTAATATATCAGGCAATGATATATCCTCCGTCAGAGATACTACACAACCACATAAATGAAGTGAGAGTGATAATAAAAAGTATTATTAACATGTGCCCATGAACTTAAAAAAAAAAGATCTGCTGTAATAATCTTTTAAGTAATGATTCAAAAATGCCACCATTTTAAAATGCCCGGTGTTCAGGGCTGACTTTTCTTTCCAATCAGAACGACCCAGTGGCAAAAGTGTTAACACAGGAGACCAGGTCATTCATAGCTATTTCAAGAAAGGGTGTTGGAAAAAAATGTGCATGTGATGATGCCGAAAGGTAGTATGGGATATAAGCAATACACTGTTTCTGACACTGTAGCTGTCAAACTTACTTTTATTGCTTTTCTTTAGCACTCACAAACATATGTCCATGGCCGCTCAAGCCAATCTTTCAAAGTTCTTTGAAAAACAGTGAACTCCAAACCACCCACAATACCTTTCAGGATTGTCGCATGCACTGTTTCGGACCACATTTCTCAAAATAGCGGTATACACTGATACATATTTCATACATATATTATGTTTTATTCATCTTTTTGTGTTTATACATTTATACTTTATTTTTATATTATAGGCATGTGATTTTGTCATCAATATGTTGTTTTGGTTGTAGATGTGGTTGGTGATTTTTCCTGAGGGCACAAGATACAATGTATTGAATACACAATTGATTGAAAAAAGTCAAAAGTTTGCTGCAGAGAGAGGTACAATAGAACCATTTTATACAGGCTTGAAGTAACTGATAACTATAAACTAATGAATTTATTCAACCCAACATATTACCTCTAATATTCATTTCAACAGGTCTGCAAGTGTTATCACATGTCCTGACACCAAGAACAAAAGCTACTGAAGTTAGTATTCAGAAAAGTCAGATATAGTGCTGTTTAAAAGTAGTATATACTGCAACAGAAGAAGTCATTTCATGATTAGTTTTGATGCAACCTTGCAACCACGGTCAGATAATCTTTTGAGAAGGATTTTTATAAGGCTCTGAGCAAAAAGAGGTTGATCTATAGAAAAACTATTGATGTCCCTTAATTTTATAAAAGCAATAGACCACACTTTCTATGGGTTTACCAGCGTGATAACCCACTTGGGATGTTTGGAGAACACGAGAAAAGCTTGTAAATCATGAGCCTTTCAGCTCATGATTTACCAAGCTTTCATTTGAATGGTCATATCACAGGATTTTGTCCACAGACTCAAAAGTTAGTTCCCTTACAAAACTTCCATCAATCATCCATTCTGGCAGTGAAAGTGCTAATCAGCAGTTTAATTCCGCCTGCGGAATTATGTTATTTAGAGTAACATAAACCTGTTTGTTCTTTTTATTTTCAGGCAAGCTTTGAGGTATTATCTTCAGATTACCTGGATGCAGTATATGATCTTACCATTGCCTATAGTAATGCATATGAGAGTCCAGTGCCTCGAAGGCCAGCACCAAGTATGACAGGTATAATTTACCAAGTCCAGCAAGTTTTCAAATTTCACCAGGAGTCACCTAAGACCTTGTTCCACACTCCTCGTCTTTATTATATAACTCAAGGGAAGTGGGAAAACGGCCAGCACTTTCAGGACACCACCACTGGTTTCCACCCAAAATGAGGAACAAGAGCATGAATTGGACACTGTTGACGTGTCACTATCCAGACCTGAGCAATGCTTCTGATTAGTTGAAAATTTGCCTCGTCCAATCAGAAGCACTACCCAGGTCTGGATAGTGACCCATCATCAGTATGATTGAGAAGTAAGTGTTAATGTTGGCTTAGGGGAGGGGTAGGTGAGCAGTTTCCCAGAAACGTTTAATGATGCCATGTGGATTTTACAGGTTCCAAGCCTTGGGCTTTCTTCATTTTTCTTAGAGCATCGCCTTTATAAGTACAGTCAACTCTCTCTTAACGGACACCTCTATAAGACGGACACCTCTGTAAAACGGACTATAAGATGGACACCTCTCTAACACGGACACTTAGTGCCCGTTCCAAAGGTGTCCGTCTTAGAGAGAGTTGACTGTATTATTTTATTTACTGATGCTAAGTTCTTTCCTCAGATTTTCTTCTTTCAAGAGGCCAGAAAGTCCATGTCTATTGTCGTAGATTTACAGCTCATGATTTTCCGAAAGTAAGTACCGTTAATGTAATGTCTTAGCCAGGCATATATTTTTTTCATAAGGCACACGCACCAAAAAAATTCAAATATTTTTACTGAGGCAATGGCCTTGGTTCTGCCACCTCTATGGGCTTTAATTGAAGTGAATGATGGAATGTCAAAATTGATTGAGATAGGGATATAAACCCAGAAGGCAAAGTTGTAAGTAGAATACCCCTGTAAGATTGTTTTGAATAGACAGAAAAGAGACCAAGAAACTTGCAAAAATTGAGTTGATTTGAAAGCATAAATGATAAATTAATTATTACTCTCTTGTCCTAAAATGATCATTGTGTAGCATTTAAGCAGAGGTAATCAGGGTAATCATTCAGAGCTGAGATCAGGAATTTCCCCCGTCTATTACGAACGTGGCCCCTGGCTACTTTCATAGGAAAACAAAAAAAATAGAACCAAAAGAAATCCCTAGCAGTTTGATTTCCTACCTAATTGTTGTATTTACCTGGCAACTTTAAATCTTATCGACATCCCTGAGGTAATATTTCTACAAATTTCATCAGAGATCTGATTGAGAGTTGTCATTATTCTCTATTTTAATTCAATTTATCTCAAATTTATCATTTAAGGATAATGAAGCAACGAAAAGGTGGCTTCATGAAAGGTTTGCGGAAAAAGACAGGTAATTTTTATGAACAGTCATATTTTTATTTTTTACTGAAAAATATTTTGAATGAAGCTCAAGTACAATTTTTGTACATGAAATGAAGTTAACAGCATCTAGATACATTGTCAGGACAACACTATTATCTTTTTTGTAGGCCTGTTAAACCAAATGGCATACATATTATTCTCAGGACCACTTCTTTTGTCAATATCACACTATTTAGAAAACAAAATATAAATGCCAAAAGAAAACTTTTGTGGTGATTTTTTTTACTAAATATCAATATTTGTCTTTACTTATGAATTAATGTTTTTTTCTCATTTATTTTCTTCATAATATTTTATTAGTAATACTGTTAAAAATATTGTTATGTTTTTAATTTTTTATTATTGTCACCCCCTTTAATTAAGTAACACCTGCAATAATATTATTGTGAAGCACCTTAGTTAAGTGAATATATATGAAATCAATTTAATGAAGGAAATTTTTGTAAACAGAATTCATTGTTATGTAAATAACTCAATTCTTTGCTACGAACTTACTTTTAATTTTCCTTCAGGATTCTCAACAAATTTTACAGTGAAGGTGGTCAAATGCCTGGTGTTCCACGAAGAAGGAGATTGCCCTGGTTCAGAACTTTCCCATCCTTTGTAATTTTTATGGCGGCTTTACTTCCTTTTCTAATGACCAAGTGGGGACGATCAGCTTACTGGAAAATGTGGCTTGTATCCAGCTTTGGAACAGTGTCTTACATGATGTTATTGTTTGGGAAAGTGCAGCGTTGATAAGAGAAAAATTAACACTGTGTATGCTGTGTCATTTGGAAAATTATACAGTCAAACCTCCTGTTGGCAAACACCCAACATGCAAAGATTTAATGACGGTGGAGGTAATGGTGAGTTTACGCAAAAAGATGGCAGAAAGAACTGGACGGCAAAACGCTTGTGTGTGGCAAACATGTCAGGGCTATTACTTGCGTGTTTTGTTGTGATCTTCACTCAACATTGTTTCCTGGTCTTTTACAAAAAGATCTGTTAAAAGGAAGGTGAAGTTTGGCGAAAGTTTTTTTTAAACAAAATTATTGTCACACTGGTCACACAAGGCTTGTGGTCTTCTTTCTTCTCCGTCCTGTCGCGTAAGTTCACTATTTACTGAGATTCAAAGTTCAGTCCTGAGCGTCTTTGAAGAAAAGGTTTCTGAGACATCTACTAATTATTGGTAAAGAATTTATTAGCATGTCTTTCAATTCTACTCTACAGTATCACTATCTGTGGTTCCATGTTGTTACTGAAAGCTGATCACCACATTCTTAGCAGCATAATACATACTGCAAAAATACAGATCAGACGGAGTTAAAAATTAACAATGAAAAATTATAAACCCCAAAAAGTGGTTGTGGTCACTTACACCAGAAATGGTTGTTTACAACCATAGCACTTTGACAGGAAAAATTTTGATGCACTCGATAGATAATCCCCATGGGAGTTGGTTGCTTATGAGAGGTGGTCGCACATAGATAGAGATGGAAGGGTCTAAACATTTTATGATAGAGGGCTCATTGTTAAGAAAAACCTTACCATGTAAAAGGATGGAAAACGGCACTATGAGTCCCTTATGCTAAAGTGCATAGCACTATTTACGGGTGAAAAGCATCTGAGCGACTTTACCCAGAGGAGTCACCTTCATTTTTTCCTTAAATTGATATTAATAATAATAAATTATGGATTTTTGATACAGTCAGTTACTCTTCTTAAACTGGCTGCAGAGCAACCCCTGAATTCTTGACAGCAGAATTTGAAAAACACTTTCTTATATTAGGATGAAGTAGTTACTGCATTATTTATGACTGTAGTAAA